ATTGACTGATATGGGTTTGACAGTAACTACTATGTATATCAATCATCAAAAACGGTTAGATATGTTATGCTGTGTGTAAGCGTAATTACAAAAATATAGTTATTAGAGTAGTGAGTGTGACTTTTAACAAGATAATATAATTACTGAAGAATATATAATAGACAATTGACTTTCAGCTTGATTATAAAGGTGAAAACATTGCAGCGATGATCAACAGAAGGCTGAGTACACCACTAGCCATAGCCTATCCTGCAGCTAAGCTCGTCACTGTCTATCGAACAACTTGCTCTTCATTGGTACAATCAAAAATCAATAGATATCCTTCTCACATTAATAACTTCAACTGTATATACAAATTTACATGTATCTGCGGGAGCAGTTACATTGGAAGGACAGAAAGAAGAAGGGCATATCTACGATTTTCTGAACATGTACCAAAAAGCTATTGTATGTCTAAAGGGAACAAATGCTTTAAACCGTGCCATCCCCAGGCATCTCCTTGACACGGGTCAGTTATGAGGTGGACGTCAAAAAGTCGTTCGAAACTAACAATATGCAAAAGAACTCAATTCTCCTCAAGTTTGCTGAAGCTATTTCCATCAGGCGCCTGAAGCCTGATTTGCGCGTTCAGAAAGAAGCGGCTTATCAGTCTTTCTTTGCCCCGGTAACTGGATATTTTTCAACTCCCTTTCATCTGAATAAGTAATGCCAAAAGTTTCCATTGTGTATGATCACTATTGTTCGGAATAGTGTTCAATATTGCATATAAATATGTATATATTATTACTGTATGCATATATTGATCGACTGATTTTGTTTAAAATGAATTCTGCACAAGTATGTTAAAATTGTTTTTGTAGATATATTTAATAATGTCTTTGGGCTGTAAGCAACTGACGAGAAGGCAACGAAATAAATGATGGTACCACTTGATTCTGCAAAAACTGTAGTTCTCGCTTTATTCAAATTCTAATCCTTATTAGTGGTATTTGCACCCACCCACCCCCGCTTGTTAAATCTCTAATTTTAATGTTTCCCTTTTGTGATTGTACGATAGGTTGATAATGTGTTGTTTTACAATGTGATTTTGGTTAGTATGAATCAAAGTCATTCCGACCTTTGACTGTCTGCAGAAAATCGTTCATTGGTGTTATGATTCTTGTGGACAGAGTTTTCGATTCCACCATGTCAAGAATACTCTGTTTGATTAATCCTAAGGTGGTACTTCTTACGGATGAATTCTGGTTAACTAATTTATCTTCCGCAGTACTTAGTTTTCACTAGAAACTTATCTAGCCTGTACTGTCTGTCTCTGTCTGTTTTCGACATAGAACTTTGCACAAATGTGCGGAAGTTCAAGTCTCCACACTCCACTTAGCAAACACAGCAAGAGAAGAAAGTACAAGAAAAGCATAATAGAGGCAGTAAGCAGAAGTGTGAGACAAAGGAGGAGTAATAACGAAGAACAAAACAGTTTCATTGGAGATCATAAGTCACAAGGAGTGGATGCATCTGCGCCACTGAGAACGGTTTTGAGCCATGTCACCAATTGTTTCCAACCAATTTGGGCTACCGATATCCACGCTGAAAATTCCATACTTGTACCAAAAATACGGTGTGGAATTAAGCTGTTATCAAAAATAAAAATAAAAAATAAAAATGAAACCATAGATTTTTACCGTCCCGAGGACCCCAGCCTGGAAGCCAGTCTACACCTTCCTACGTGGCTTAGACCAACTGTTGTGGATTTCATTGACTGGTGAAGCCAAGTTTTGGTTTGACCGCCGCTAGCTTTTTTCCAGCCTGACCCTATATCCGCTAACATTTCTCGTCGAGGGAGGCGATGGCTTGGCATACGTAATACTTGTCCTAACCATCTCAGTCTTTGAAACTTCACGACTTCGTCGATTGAAGCCTGTACAGTCTCCCCCAATAACACTATTTCGGCAAATTTTGAGTTTTTCATGTTGTTGAATAGACCAAGAGATTTTTCGACAAATCACCGTCTTCCTGTTGTCTTTTGGAGCGCTTTGTGACTGTGTGTGTGTGTATGTATTAAGGATGTTTAGGTTAGGTATGCCGTAGGATGCAATAAAACAACAGTTTCCTGCGTTCCCCTAAAAACTTCATATAAATATCACATTAGACCAACACAATCTAAGGGAATGCAAATCACAATTTAACCGTCTCCATTCTACCTTTTACTATTCATACAGATAGGTTGAAATGAAAGCCCGATAGGTTTGTTTTACTACAACAACTCAACTGATATACTCACTCACTCATTCACCCACCCACCCACCAGGTGTCTTAACCCCATTGAAGAGACTCAAACAACTAGGACGAAACAGTTGATTTTCCAATAGTTTTTTTTTAACTCATGGAAAATTCCCATTGTAACATTTAGAAAATCAAAACAAGTGACCCATTCAGCGAAGAGACTCTTTTCAACAACGAATTTATCATCAAGCTGTACAATCGTATATATAGGGCTCCTTTTAAGAAGTTATATCCGGTGAGGGAATTGAATCTTAGGTGTGAATGCATAAAATAATAATAATGATAATAATCATATGAAGTTAAATTAAAACTAAAATGTGTTTGTGATTATAATCGTAGTTAAATGTCAAGTGGCAAAGCAGATTAATATCATATATAGAATAATTCATAGGAGGGATAGAACTTGAAAACGGATGTGCAATTATAGGATTAGTAGACAAATCGAATAAAACAAAAACGTTACGTAATATTGTGTGAAATTTGATAGCGTAAAATTTAACGTTGCAAAAAAAGAATTGATTTAGAATGACAAGTGGAACAAGTGAAATAATACCGGGGACAGTTCAAAGTGAGAATGGTAATAATAACAATTGACTTAATAAGGAAGAGTATACAAATTGAATAGACAAAATGAAAAATTGGTAGAGCTAAAATATGATTGGGGATTACCATATTTTAGCATAGAGGGATTAAGACCATGAAAGTTGGAGGGGTTGAACGATTTTTTTTCTCTACACACAGATCTGGCTAGCTTTTCTATTTCGATAGCCAAAGCTTCAGCAATACAGATGAGTCGGGTACGTAGGGATTTGGGTATATATATACGATTGTACAGCTTGATGATAAATTCGTTGAAAAGAGTCTTTTCGCTGAATCACTTGTTTTGATTTCCAATAGTTCTCTAACTGATACCACCTTGTGAACAAGTTTGTAACCAACCGAAAATATCCCTACAAAATGGCATTGTTGATAAACCTACGTTTACTTTATCGCTTCTTCTCACAAGTCCAAGTTTAACGATAATATTATCACAACCATAGATTCATCATGTGGTCAAACTCATCCGGGTGTCTTTTCTAGTGTCACAAACAAAATCTGATTATAAGAAATCAATAAATATTTGTGAAAGTTTGTTATGTTACTGCTGCTGAGTAGTTAATAGTAGTTTTCCTCGTCGCCAAATTGTTATGTACTCGTCGCTAAATTATTGTTATGGTCTGGTCGAGAAACTAATAGTCCTGACGCAAGAAGGCGGAAATCAGAAGACCACTAGGTTTGCGATGATACTTCTATTTTCCAAACACAAGGAGAAGCAATAAGTGGTATCACACCAACATAAGTAAGAAGTGTAAGTCACAAGATTGTGAGAGAGAAAAATATATATAGCAAAATATAGCAGACATGTCAACAACCACCATATATGGATATATGTCACTAAGCAACGGACTGTCAACAAACACTCATATTATATATAATATAAGGGGAATATACATTGTTAGAGGAGACAGGTTCATACAAGTGAAGTGGTCACAGACTAAGCGAGCAAACAGGAAGAGAGACCAACACACACACACATAAATATATATATATATATATATATATATATATATATATGTGGATACATATCAAAGTTTCATCAGGACTCTAATGCATTTTATATAAGCATTTATATATATATATATATATGTTTGGCATTTAATGTAATGTTGTTCATGAACCTTGCTTTTACCGATAGCAATCACTTCAAATCAGCGCCAATCACCATCAACGGGAGGTTACTTCATTCATTCACTTATCTAGGGAGCACTGTCTCAACTACAGGCAATCAGAACGGACGACGATGTCAAATCGAGCGAGAATCGCGAAGGCGAGAAACACACACATTCATCAACCTGAAACCAATCTGGATACCAATCTTCGTCACTCAGCCAGCCAGCATCAACAACAAAATCCAGTCGGATTCTCAATACAAACACGTCAAGTCAGTCAGTTCTTCTATACGGAACGGATCAGAAACTTGGCGGGTGGGTTACAAAGAATATTTCCAACAGTCTGTTGCAGACCTTTATCAACTAACAACTGTCTTCGCTGGCTCTATGATGAAGATCAGATGACCGGGGCGGAAACAATCACCAACCATGGGAACAAACAAAACAAGAAGCAATCGCCAATCAACAAATATGCAGGAGAAAGCGGGCATGGATTGGTCACTCGCTGAGAAGGCATAGCGCTGGGTGACATCGCGCGCACGTTAGGCCATTGCTCGAGTGGAACCCTACAGAAAAGGAGGTGACGAATGGGACGTCAGTGCAAGGGTGACATGGAGGAGATCGTATGAAGAGGAGTTGAAACAGTATGGACGGACTAAGATGGATGCAAGTGAGAAGTACAGGAGAAGGAAGACAGAAGTGGCAAGTGGAGACGTGAAGTTGAAGCCCTATGTTCCTCTAGGAACCCAAGGGAACAATAAAAATAATAATCATCACTTCAAATCATAAAACTATGCATTCTCTAAACTTCATGAATAATCTTTGTTACTTCAGTGAGATAATTTTCCCTTCCTTCAGGTAGGAGTCATTGAATTCGAATAACAGCTTCTAAAATATTTATTGTTATCGTTATTTCTCCTATACTATTGAATTGGGCAGAGAAATAAATAAACATGAATATATGAACGCATACATGAAATATCAATAATGATAATATTATGAATCACTTACTCGTATCACATCTGCATAATTGTTCAATTGTCTCTGGTGCACCTTTAGTGTATATACTGAAATGATTACGATTCAATGCTCGAGCAATGACTGACATACGTTGTAACGATGAACTGAATGGAAATTGACGTAGAATACCCACTTCATATGGTATATCCTGTGTGTGTGTGTGTGACACAACACATCGGCGATGAGGAGGAGAACGAAGAAGGGGATACGAAAATTTAATAATAATAATAATACTTTGATAAAGCTATTAGCATTAAATAGCGAAACGTCAGTAAAAAGAACAACAATATCGTTTTGTTTTTCATTCTCATTGGGAAATACAAAAACCTTTATTGTGCTGAAAATTGTGCATATTGTGGTAAGCTTATTGTACAGAATAAAGTCATCATTTTTCAGGTATTGATTTTCTAGGGATTTTGTTTGATTGAATGGAGAATTTCTTAATGCGCTGACATCGGTTAGAGAACCACCACTGGAAAACCAACTGAGAGTACTGGATCGCAGTATCGTCCTAGTTTGGAACTCCTCAACATCAAGAAATCCTCCATGCAATCAAATCAAATCCCTACAAAAACCAATACTTGAAAATTAATCTGATGCTCACTATTCAGGTAGTTGACCTGGGTTTCTAGTGGGAAGCCGTGACCAGTAGGGTACAGAAGGTCGAAGATGAGGCAGTAACTCATCGAAGAAGACATTGCGAAGTGGTCGTCTCGCCATGTCGTGAATCAGCAGAAAGTTAGAATTCAAGAACCATTGGATCGGGTCCCAGTGGCTTAATGGTCTACGAGCTTGCCTTGTAACCAGAAGGTCCTGGGTTCGAACCGTGGCGGTGGGCGCGTACTGATGAAGAGTCCCAAACTAGGACGAAACAGTTGTCCAGTACTCCCAGTTGGTTTTCCAGTGGTTCTCTAACTGATGTCAGCTCATGAAGAAATCCTCCATGCAAAGCTATTCTTCTTCTTATTATTATTAGAAGTAGTAATAGTATTTATCGTAGTTCTTATTATTTCTGATGTTATTCTCAGCATATATTTTGCTTTCTTTTTCTTGTTGTTAATATACCTCAACATCAATACACTTTGATGTGAAAATATGCTGTATCGATTACTGTACACCGGTTCTCCGTGTTGTCTGTCTGTGTGTGTGTGTGTGTGTGTTAAGAACGTCTGTCTGTCTGTCCCGACTACAACACTGAAGTTTAACGAACGTGGAAGCTTGCCAATTATTGAAAGAATTTTATCGCCAATTAATACATTAATGTGCTACAACCCAACTCATAAGAGACTACATTCTTCTTAACTTAATGATAAAGAGATGGTTAGACTTATTTGTCACTCATAAACTTTTTCTTCATTTGTTTTATGATCTGAGTGGAAAATAGAGCTTCAGGCTTTAGGCTCTAGAGTTTAGAGAAGCAGTGATGTTTGTCTTCAAGCCCAACCTTCTATCTTTAGCCAGTTTACTGACAGTTACGCGGTGCGATGGGCGGAGATAGGGAGCGAGGGAGTTACGAGTATGTCGGCTGAGAATCGAAAGCGGATCAAAAAATTATTAGCAGTATTATAAAGCAGCAGAGTCGACTTACTTTAGTGGGTGTGGATTTCTTTTTCATTACTGAATTCTAGATATACGTACGATAAAAATGTGTATATAGCATGATAAAACTATTTTTGTTTACTTTGCGTGAGAATGATTCATAGATGGTTTTTACAATGCAACAGAAATAATTATTATTATTTCCTTTAATTCCTAGAGGAACATAGGGCTTCAGCCAAACGTCTCCATTGCCTTCGGTTCTCTGCTAGAGTCTTCACCTGGCTCCAGGTCTGCCCACATGCTTTCATCTCCTCTTCACTTGACCTCCTCCAAGTCACCCTCGCACTGACGACCGACTCACCGCTTCCCATTCAGTCGGGTTCCACTCGGGCGATGGTTTGCCTAGTGATGTCACTCGACGGTTTCCTCAGAGTATGACCAGCCAAACCGTCTCCATTTCTTCCTGCTTATTTGTTGCAAAATCGGTTCGTGCTTGGTTGGTTGGTTTGCTCATTGCCAGAGATCCCTGTTGATGATCTTTTCTGGTCGGCCATCTGATGTTGAGCGGAGTATTGAGCAAAGATAGCCGTTGATGAAGGTATGTATTTTCTTTGACGTGCTCTTTGTGTTAACCTCCACACAGACTTGAGAGCAATGAAAGCATATCTTGCTTTCACGATCCTCGCAGCTTTGATATCCTCATCACTTCCGTCCTCCTGTAGTTGAAACGAGGCTTCCCAAGTAAGTAGGTAGGTGGGTATGTGAAGGAGGTTGTTTCTTTCAGGTTCCTCCCATTTATGCTGGCTGATTGTTGTCTGTTGTTGTTGCTGTCGCTGTTGGAGTTGGCCAGGAATCTTCATCACCTCTGTTTTCTCCATTTTTACCTGAAGGAAGTCGGGTTATATATTTAATGTACATTTTGCTTGAATAAGAAATACCAAGCTATATGGCGTGAATTGGTTGAAGTTGGAATTAATGATCCACTGAATGCCGTCCACCCAATGATTTAATTGGTCAACAAACTTGCCTTGTAACTTAACTGTCAAGAGCTGAACCAATATAGGTAGCATCTCTATCAGAGTGCTGCTGAAGAGTCCCATTCTAAGATGGAACACCAGCTGTCCAGTACTCCCTGGTTTTCAACAGTATCACTCCATGATCTGACTTGAAACTTGCTAATTAATAGCTGATCACTGAGTTGAATACTGTTCATAGTTAAAATTTTATAGCAGGGTACTAAAAATGATAACATCACCCCTTCTAAAACACCAGAGCGATTCACTGCATACATCAAGAATTATCTGCCCTAATTTTTTTAAGTAATCCAACTCTGACAATGAAATGTTAAACACGAGTACACACCTCACAGTCTTAAGTTCCCACAGACATGTCTAGCAAGCGATCTCAAAATCCTGAGTAGCCTTTAACAACGGTGTTGGTAGGTTTGCGTCCTCCATGAAGGGTTTCTATGGCTCTCACCGTTACTTGTGGTCACAGAGTGAAGTAAAGATTACTCACTAGCCTGCAGAATAGTACTAATCGTAGTGGAGAAGCAAGATGAGGAAGGTGATGTGAGTTAAGGAGAATGATGTTAAGGAAGGCTTCGTGTGCTAATAGAAGTGTGTGTGAGGCTGTTACTTCCCGACCACCCACACCAGGAAAGTTGATTGATTTTTCGGGTACCTGAAACAGAGAGAGGGTTAGTGTTGCGTGACCGCAGAGCCCACGGGAAAACTGCTTGAGGCCAGCCGGTCACACACGGCCTGTATGAACTGGTTTCAAGGTTTGATTCCGTATTAGTGAACTTACTGTCTATTACGGACCACCGTAGGGAAAGTCGGGATGTACAATTTTTGCGATCGACCTTTTCTAACCCCCTGAGCGGAGAGACAGCTTAGTTGGCTACCATGCTGGTCATCTGAGGGAAATACCTCACTTCTGTTACACCCCTGTTCCCCAGAAGTACGACTTCGCCAACAGATCCCCAGCATAGTTTAAGAGAGATTCTTACACAAAGCCGGTAACTGCTTTTAGTCTAATCGTTATCCTAACAACCTTCCTGGCAGGAACATTGTTTCCAGCCAGTGTAGCTTGTTGGATCACCGCGATGTGCAAGCCCGACCACCACGTCAGGGTAGCAGCTATCGATCGGGTCATGAAGGGTAGACATTTAATCTGTGTAAATACCATACATTTCACAAAATATTAATCGAAATATACATACATAAAAGACATCGACGTCAAAAAAATCGAAGATATAAACTGTCGCATATAAAGGAGCTTTGGAAAGATGAGTTAATTCTCTATTTACAGCCAATAGTCTAACTAAATAGTGTCATTATGACCAGATAGTACAGAAAAAAAATCCATTGAGTACACATTAACTTACATCATTTTCAACTTCTTTTGCAACGTTGTTCTTCACACTGTTTGCACTTGAAGGACGTACAATAGCCGGGACAGCCATTTCAAACTTACAATGATCAGAAGCTTCTTCAATAAATTCCTGAAAGAAAGAAACCAAGCAAAATTTGAGAGAGAAAAAGAAGGCTTTGTGTATCTCTGCATCTCCAGGTAATTAACAAATGTGTATACGGTTAGACCACGGATTAATATCAATTGGCGAACCACAAAATCGAAGACTTACAAGCAAAAACCGACCGACAAACTGATCGAAGAAGTAGCAAAGACAGGATTCCAGGTGAACATAGACAAGACGGACGTTATGAAAATAACCAATCAACAACAACAACAACAGCAGCAGCAACATCCAGCGCCAATCACCATCAACGGGAGGGATTTGAAAGGGGTTACTCCCCTCATTCACTTATCTAGGGAGAATCATCTCAAATACAAGGAGAACTGACGAGGATGTCATATCGACAATCGGGAGAGCGAGAAACACATTCGTCAACCTGAAACCAATCTGGATACCAATCTTCGTCACTCAGCCAGCCAGCATCAACAACAAAATCCAGTCGGATTCTCAATACAAACATGTCAAGTCAGTCAGTTCTTCTATACGGAACGGATCAGAAACTTGGCGGGTGGGTTACAAAGAATATTTCCAACAGCCTGTTGCAGACCTTTATCAACTAACAACTGTCTTCGCTGGCTCTATGCTGAAGATCAGATGACCGGGGCGGAAACAATCACCAACCATGGGAACAAACAAAACAAGAACCAATCATGGAAAAGATTTGTAACTCAGGTGGATGATTTGCAATTGATAGTGTTCTCTGAGCTCCTTGGTTTAATTGCGGAACTTTCATCATCTAAAGATGGTTACCGGGAGACTCATGAAGAAATTTAAATCATTTCACTTTATCCTAAATACTGCGCTGAAGATGTCGTCCAGAAAGACGATGAAAGCTCCGCAATTAAACCAAGGAGCTCAGAGAACACTATCAATTGCACAAGAACCAATCGCCAATCAACAAATATGCAGGAGAAAGTGGAGATGACACATTGGACACTCGTGGCTGAGAAGGCCGCTGGGTGACATCGCACGCGCGTCAGGCCATTGCTCGAGTGGAACCCTACAGAAAAGGAGGTGACGAGTGGGACGTCAGTGCAAGGGTGACATGGAGGAGATCGTATGGAGAGGAGTTGAAAGAGTATGGACTAGGATGGATGCAAGTGAGAAGTACAGGAGAAGGAAGACAGAAGTGGCAAGTGGAGACGTGAAGTTGAAGGCCTATGTTCCACTAGTAACCAAAGGGAATAATAATAATAATAATAATAATAATAATAATAATAGAGAACCATTGAAAACCAACAGGGAGTGCTGGACAGCTGTTTCACTCTAGTTTGGGACTCAGTGACTCATCGTCAATACGCACCCACCACCAGGGTTCGAATCCATGATTTTCCAGTTACAAGGCAAGCTTGCTCGTATACCACTCAGCCGCTGGAACCCCATTCAATAGCTAGCCAGTGAATTCTGACTTCTACCAATTCCTCCAGTACCCCCTGGTTTCCAGTGGTTCTCTAACTGACTTTTAACCCGTGGTTCATCCTGAAACAAACAGAATCCCTAAAAACCAATTCTTGGAAACGTGTATAAACGAATATTCTACTGGATAATACAATGACATACTTTGGGGTGTTGTAATACTGTAAAACAAGGTGTGTATGATACATTACTGACGACAAAAATTCTCCTTTGTTCAGTAAAGTCGTGAAAAACATCTCCATTAGAACACCTCACAAAAAGACTGACTGAGTTTTGGCATAGACATGAGCACAAGAATGTCTGTCTGTCTGGATTCAACACAGAACTTGGCACCGAAGTGCACCAGTTCGAGTTGCCACGTTCCAAATAGCACACAGAGGTAGACAAGAAGATGAGTGAAGAGAATCAATAGAGTTTCACAAGTATAAGAGTGAAACAGAATGGGTAATTGTAGGAAGGTATATGAAAGATTACAGAGACTGAATACATCTGCGCCATTGACAACGATTTTGAGCTATGTCACCTATTGTCTCCAGCCATTGTTTCCTAGAGCACAAGAATGCAGTAGTTCAAGCTACCCCACACTTCAGATACCACACACAAGGGTAAACAAAAGAGACTAAAGGAACAACTAGGCAGTTTACGATTTCATACATGGCTCCTTGGACCAAATGTCGATGACTTCATTAAGTGATGGCACTTTCTGTCTGATGTAGCTATCCCGTAACTCTTTTCCAACCTAATCCTACGCCAATTCACCTGGCTTGTCGAGATAGGTGGTGTCACTCTAAGCCTAACCTCAATATTACTGACTACAAGATACCACTTCACACAGGAGACAAAACGCAGACACCTATGGTCAAAGTCTCCCACTTTCAATGGCCATTTGTCAACCACAGACATATAGGAGGACGGATCGAACTGCTGAGCGGTACACACACGCCCTTCGGTCGACAACCAGCCGGATATCACGTCCTACTAAGCCAGAGATAGCGTAAGTTGGCGTATTTTCTATAGTTTGGTTTGTAAGGGTTAGTTTTGTTTTTACGAGTTGATCACGGATTGATATCAGCTAGAGAACCATTGAAAACCAGGGAGTGCTGGACAGTTGCTGTCTCATCCTAGTTTGGCGATCATTGGCAGTACGCACACAACGCACGGGATTCGAACCCAGGACATACCGGTTACAAGGCAAGCTCGTATATCATTCAGACACTGGGACCCGATTCAATGGCTCATGAATCCTAACTCCTATCGATTCGTGATTTAGCGCGACCCCAACCATCGTCGTAGGTGAGACAAGTGACATCTGGATGGACCTCATTGGTCAAGACTTCTCACTAGAACTCCAGGAAACTGCATCCTGTAAGCAAGTCACTAGCAAGTTTGCCTTGTCCTGGGTTCGAACCCTGTCCGGTGTGTGCGTACTGTCGATGATTCCTAAAACTAGGATGAAACAGCTGGCTGTCCAGTACTCCCTGGTTTTCAATGGTTCTTTAAATGATATCAACCCGTGATAGACTCGTAAGTTGACGTATATGCCAAACGCGCCTTCTGTATCCACGCTGAGATTCCCTCAGTGATCAACCCCCCCACTGGAGTTGGCTGATGCAACTACCTAAATAAGTCAACACTCTCCACCACTTCACTACCTATAGAATAACCTAATAAAAGTTATATCACATACATACACATACATTTTCAGCTTAACTATACAGGTATTTACCTTAAGGAGTGGACAACGTTTGCATAAATCCTGTACAACAAAACACTTTAAGAAATTTCATTTTAAGAAAACGGTAAGGAATTAATGGAGTGTCTACGGATGGAAAATAACAATGTTGAATGATGCCTATTCACACGCACACACACATACACTTCCTTGTATAAGGTTATCTCAATTCCCATGGTTATATTTCTCAAGGATACTCTTCATATATACGAGAAACTTAAGGATAACCAACACACATCGATAAGGTGAAATTTACAATAACGGTAATAATAATAACTATTACAATAACAATAATAATAATGGCCTTATATCAAATGATCCTTTTCATACAGTGTGCAGCTCTCAGCTTACAGTACAGTAACAACACTCAGCTTAATTTTCTCCTCATATAACATAGAAAGAGGTAAAATAATTTTTCACTATTTATATAGCCACATATAAAGGCGTCGGTGGCTCAGCGGTTAGGACTATCGCCGACCATGCAAATGGTCCGGGGTTCGATCCCCGGCCACCGACGCACCCTGTTTTACCTCGCTGAGCCAGAAATAATGCTGGTAAAGAGAAAAAGGTTGGGCCAGGTGAGGCTAGTAACCCCATCCTATAAAATAAACACTGGTACAGAAACTTCAAGCCACTAGCTTGAAGCCCTATGTTCCACTGGGAATGTGAAGGGAAAAAAGAGTAAACAATAAACACCAAAGTCAGGTGACCTTGATTTGACCAATCAGATAGCTCAGTATTACAAATGTTTGCTAGTCATAGTACTCGCTGAAAATGTAGTCTAGATTTGGTTTTTACTTCTCTATGGAAGATGTGTCGATAGGGAAGAATAAAACATGCATATGTAGTAGAGGGATAATGACTCTGATAAAGTATTGCTGGGCCCTTTCTGTCTGTCTGTAAGTGTGTGGGCGGTTGTTACTTCCCGGCTGTCTACACTGTGCCGGGCCCTTTATGGTTATACATTCATATGCAACCACTTTATTTGAGGGAATATGTTATGTGTATATGCATGTATGTATGTTGGTAAGTCTTACATAATTGGTGATTTTTTTAGACACTATCTTCTCGAAATCAAAGCTATCCCTTAGTAATATATATTGCGTATATGCAACCAGTATCTGATACAGCTGGTGAATTCTCCAGATTTCTTTTATTTATATTTTATATATTTTTTTGATTACAGCTTGATTTCACACTGTATTTTCGGTACAAGTATGGAATTTTCAGCATGTGATATCAGTAGCCCAAATTTTGCGGGTCGACCATAGATATCAGGTGTGCGTCGGCAGGGAATACATTAGTTCGATATGTCTATAGCCACTTCCATGAGAATCTGAGCCCAGTTTTTGCAGCATATTACAGATATATATACCCTATATGATTCATTTTTATTACACATATATGTATAATAGATGCACTCCTTTGTAAGCGAATTACCACTTTTGACCTGGGAGAATCTGATTGGCTGTTTCAAGGTCATCTGAAGTTGGCGTCGGGTCTATTCTTTACTGTTGCCAATTTCCACTGAAGTGTAGCAGTTCAAATTCCACACACCCCATGTATCACACAAACTTAGAGTAAAAAAAACAGACTCAAAAGAATTACAAACGGGAGATATGCTCTTGGGAAATAATAGTGTGGTAAGGGCTGGCTGCTAGCCAAATTGGTAGACAGTAATTCACGTCGATTTTTACGTCCCCAATATTGGTCGTAAGGAAAATGAGATCAAAGACTGATTGATTCAACAACTAACCACAGCAGACTTTGCGTAGGCGGATACAGTTAGCATATAGATGATCTGACATTCAAGAGACAGCCACAAAGGGACGAAAGATTTTGGCAAATGCTCCAGAATGGTTGAAAAAAGCTGAGTTCAAAGTGCCAAAATCCTCAATAACAAAACATCTTGTAGATTACGGACATCATATCGACGCAGTCAAGTCATTTACCATTGTCAGCAAACAAAGAAACAAGAAGATGCTTGCAATTGCAGAGGCTTGTGCAATTCGAATTTATAAACCAGCTCTCTGTATACAAAAGGAGATGGTCGTAACTCTGAATCTACCATGGTAATACGTTTTATTCTCTACTTGTTATCATTCTACCTCTTCTTCTTACTATTATTGTCATTATTATTATCATTATTATTAATATTCTTGATTCCTCTGAAACTATGCTTTATCAGTAAGATTATCTTAACTCACTTCAATACTATTAAAATTGTTATTATAACTATTACTATTGATATTAGTCTGTTTGCAATTCTCCTTATATTCCCTAATGACTAATTGTTTATCTAAGTGATGTGTTATTGAAGTGTAATGCAATTTATCTTAATTTTGATCTCTCATACTCTCTCTCTCCCCTTATCTATTTGAACATGACCTGGAAAACATTCGCACCTGTCTTTCTGCATGATTAATTCAATGTAGTTGGTTTACTTATCAGTCTTATATCTTCCAATGTAATTTCAAAAGTATACACATATCCGTGTATGTAGAGTATTCAGCTGACGAGTTCTACCGAAATTTGATGAATTCATTAAATCCTGCTTTATTAACCTTTATTGCTTGTTTTAGATGGAGATGTGCTAATGAAACTCCAAATTCAACTCGGAACCCAAAGGAACAACAGTAATAATAATAATAATAATCATAAAGTATATATACGTAACTGTATTACATATTTCTATGAAAGCTCGCAATACACTTGATGGTTGGAAATGAAAATTCAACCGTTTTTGATTGCTTTAGAAGCAAATGTTCCATTTTACTTTCACAATTATTTTCACACACATACACTGTGAACATACATTATAAATTATTTATAATCAAGATCTGCCATTATTAGAATGCATCGAAAGAGGTTACTATGGTTAGTAGTTAAACATTAGGGAATAGTCAGTGGAATACAGAAAAGAATCAATTTTATATGATCTGTTCAATTTCTTACTTGTGAAGAAAATAAAAATGGCATTCAACAGTGAACGAGTTCAACCAGACTAGATCAAGACTAGAATTTAGTTTGGAAGAGTTATAGAGAAAACTAATCACAGTCTATCATATTTCTGGTATTTGTATTGAGCCATTTCTGTTGCATGTGTTGGGTGTAGACTCAATGAACCAGGCAGGACTCAGTAATCAATCTCTCTCTCCACCTACATAGATTACTTTTAAGAATTTTAACCCTCTCCAACCACCCTATTGTGTGGTTGTGTGTTAATGCATGCAGTGCAATTGCTGAGCTTCTTTCTAGATTACTCATGTTCTCGGGGTCAACCATTCTTACCTTAGCTAAATTCTTGTGTTCCGACAATCTAATTACCCCTGATCTACTAGTTTGACCTATGTAGTTGACTTAACTCACAGTCATTGCAGGGTATTTTGTAAACTATATTATTTTGATTAATTGGGTCCATCGACAGAGTCCTTTAGCCTACAGAGCTTGTCCTACATGAGTGAGTTTGTAGGTTTGAATGCCACCCTAATTCCTGCTTTATTAAGAATCCCACGTAGTCACTGTCTCAGATGTTCCCTCCTTATATGGTATTGTAACAACAGAAGACAAGGGCCGGCAACAGATCGTTTTATTATGGAAATCAACACGTATTTATATATATATATATATATATATATATATTTCATGTACATTATTATAGCTTATTCAAGCAGACAAACGTAGTCTTCTGATTGGTTGTTTCTGGTTTTTCGGAAAGTTAGGCCATATATCTGCGAATCTTATTTGCCCACTTTAAGTCTGCTGTGATTGGTTGTCGAATCAGCCTTGTTCATACTTTCTCACGGCCAATATTAGTGACCTAGACATTGACGTAAATTAATGTCTACCAATTGGTTAGCAGCCTGCTCTCACCACAGTATAACAGTGGATGACTTATATTCTCTTTTATTTATGTTGTCACAACTAGTTTCACAATTATTTTTAATTTGCTTTTGGCCTTTTTCAATCTTCCTAATGAATTTTATAGGATAGTTACTTAACACCAACGCCTCTTCTGTCTGTTTTATTTCATCATTTAGGTCTTGTTTATATTTAGACTTTAATTGATCACAATCTGTTTACTATTTTTTTTATTTAATTTGCCCGTTTGCGCCCCGGCTGCAGAAAACGGTAGAGTGTACGGCTTCAAGCTTTGGAGTTTTAGTAACCAATGGTATTATACTTTTACAGAGTGAAGTTGTTAGTCTCACACCCAACCTCCCCTCCTTACCAGACTTACTACCGGGCTAAGCAAGGTTCAGTGGTGCGTCGGTACGAATTTGAACCCCGGCCCATGTCCGTGGTTGGCCAGTATTCTACCGCCGAACCACCCGACACTGCCAGGATCGCAAAATATTCACGATCATTCATAAATCAACAGACGTACGAACAATATTACTGGAAGAAGTAACTGTTGCGTTGTTTAATTCGGATCTTGTTTAAGGTGTGATATAAAGAGATCAGAGGATTAAAAATGTGAAGGAATTCTTGAACACATCAAAAGACAGAAAAATTCATCTCTTTCGCTCTCTCTCTCTCGCTGTACTTACCCATTTAGTCGACTGAAACATTTTTAAGTCAACAGGATCACCGGAGAGAACTCCTTCGATCAGTGTCAATGAATGACACGTAGCTAAACATTCCATTAATGGACCAATTTCTATCTGTGATGGATCCAATTCTGGATCACCGAATAGACCATCTTCATACGGTATAATGCCCCACATATCCAAGCCATCTTCAGTCAAAGTACCAGTCTGTAAAGAAAGAGAGAGAGAAGAAGAGTTACATTTAACTACCTATCAAAAAACATTTTTCAAGTATTTTATAAATAATACAAAACCAATACTGACTGACTGATTAAGTTTCAACTATGCACTAAAATATACCAGTTCAAGTTGCTAAACTCCATTTAGCACACAAAAGTAGAGCAAAAATTCAGAACAACGGCGATAAGCAGAAATGTACGACAGAGAGAGCAATTACATGGATAAATACAAATACCTAGTGGGTTTGTAAGATTATAAAGAGTAGAATGCATATCTGTACCATCGACAACTACCTTAAACCCTACCACCACTAACAGTATCCAACCATTGGTTCTTAGCCTCTAGAAGACCCTAGCTAGACTGTGTACACTTACATTGGCGGCTCAGAACAGTCAGAGAATACATAGATTGATGAGAAGATATTTAGACTTAACCACTCCCCATTTTTTTCTAACCTAACCGTATGTGAGCTAGCATTGCTCGACAAGAAATGCCGTGGCTCTGAAACGATTCCCACGCTGGATGTTGGCATTACAAATAGCTGAATGTGTCGACAAGTCAACTCAGCTGAGTAACCGCAACAATCCAAATAGACTGGTTCGCCGACATGATACTAACGACACACCGGAATAGACAAATGGACAATAAAAAGTTGCTGGGAAACCACAGTAATCCAATTTTTTGGAAATGATGTCAGTGTTTACCTATACTGTCTGGAGTCATGAGTTCAACTCTGCTTGATGCTTGGCAGCAATAACGGATGAGATCAATTTTCCCCCGTCAACGAGGTTTATAATCACCAGTGATTTACAGGATAAACCTGGTATATACGAAAACATGATGAGGATCCCAACAACTGATCTAACAGGAGCAGATATCGGTAGCTAATAACAATGTAATCGATTTGAGTCAACGCTTGGATGGTGGACGACAGACACCGGAGAGCACCACGGTGATGGCTGCGCTAGGAGTTACAGCTAGTTAGAAACAGGTTATTGTCAGCACAAAGGTACATAACACAACGGTCCACCGTATCCAACTGTGATGACAAAGTTAAAAGGTGGCATTCTTTGTCTTCATATACTTCGATAGAAGTAAGCAGTGAACAATGAAACTCCAGTACCAACGGTACAGCTTTGTCCACAAGGTGTGTATACCAGCTAAACTCTACACAAGAACAATGGGATTCAAATTTATGATTCTCTTGTTAAAAGAAAGAAAAAGCCAACAACCAACCACAGATTCACTGCTAAAATGAGTACTCACAAACTTTTACTAATCTTTTTTTGTGCAGTTATAATTTCCAGAGACCATAGAAGAGCATGAAAACATTGAGTAGTTGTTTCGTCCTATTTTGGGACTCTTCAACAATAAGGCCCCATATGAATCGAACTCAGAACCTTCAGGTAACGAGACTAGGCTCGTTGACCATTCAGTCACCTGGGCCGAGATTTAATGACCAGTGAACTACGAATTCTAACCTAGTCGATTCAAGTTGATAAAGCACCTTCAATGGACATTCATTCCACCTTGACAGCTATCTCTCTATCACTCCCAGGATTCGCAATAATCTCTCTAATTGATATTTTCAGTTCATAACAAAATTCTAACAGAATTTTAGATTTTCCTGTCGATTGATTGGACCGAAGTGCTTGGTCTCAGGTTGACATAGTCGAAGCATCTGCATAAGAAGCCGACATGCAGACATGAGATCGAGCACTTCGGTCCAATCAATTAACGGGAAAATCTAAAATTGAATTAATATGCGAAAATTAAAACAATTATTCACTTTGATAAATTTGAAGATGGCTTTCAGAAGACAAATTTCGAGAGATGATATCGTCATTTCGTAGTTTCTTTACAACCACTTTACAACTAACATGGTTCACAATAATAAAATAAAGATCATGACAATTACTCAGTTAAATAAAACAGAACAAAAGTGCATACTAATGACCAATCTCTATTTAAATAGGTCAAGTAGTCAGTCCATGGTAGGTGAAGGTCGAAGTCTATTGTTTTTTGTACACACAGTTTAGGCTGTATGTGAATAATCCCCCAAAGTGCCTCCATCACCTTCAATAACCAACCTTGAATTAAAGTTATGCGAAATAATTGTGAAATATTCATTAATAATGGTTTTGTGACCTGACATTAATAAGTGTTTTGCAATGGATGATGCTGGATTTGTATACAGATTATTTGCATTGGAATTTTCAACATGATTTAGTAGCCATGATGGAACATGTTCTTTTCGACGACATTGGAACATTTTATTGGTTCTACCTACATAGGTGTCACCGCAGCTGCCGGTGAACTTGTAGATACAGTTTGAAGTAGAGTCCACAGAATTTCGTCCTTTAATCGTAGGTACAGGGGTCGAAAATGTTCGGTATGCGAGAAAAAGAGATGTGGCGGCGTAGAATGTGTGTTTGATGGCTGACCGAAGTCTTTCAGCTAACTGTCAACTGCCTTATCTGATCACCCTAGAATCGTAAGTTAATAGAGATAGCTTTCCTTGGTACAGAAGTTGTCTTTTCGAGATGTGATGTTTCTTTACTGTGACAAGTGATAAAGTTTTCCGGATAACCATTAGCTAATAAAACTGAATGTATATGTCGAATCTAATTGCTCAATGTGTAACTTGTGCATATTTTTCGGGCCCTTAAGAACAAGCATTTCACTAGGGAACGATTTTACTGGATGGGATATTGTCCCCACCATGTCTGTTTACGAAAAATACCATGGACAGCATGACCTATCTAAATATGATTGGTCATTAGTATGTACTATTGTTTTTTTATTTAACTGAGTAACTGTCATGAACTTTATTTAATTATTGTTAACCATGTTAGTTGTGAAGCGGTTGTAAAGAAATTTGTCTTCTTAATGCCTTATTTAAATTAATATGACTCGTTGCACAAGTAGTGGCTCTCGCGGCCCAAGTGGTCTAATGGCGTTTGAAACTATGGGCACAGGGTTCGAGTTTCGGTAGCTGGAATATCATCACTCACTGCGAAATGCAGGTACATCCGGATGATGAGTCTCAAATAGGACGAAATGCGCATCCTGAATTCCACCATTAGTCACCATCCACAAATTAAAATCTAACAGATTTACATTTTTTTTATTATAACTTGACTCCACACTGTATTTTTGGTACAAGTATGGAAATTTCAGCATGTGATATCGGTAGCCCAAATTTTGCAGGCCGACCCATTGGTACCAATGTGCGTCGGCAGGGGATCGAACCACGGACCATGTGCATGGTCGGCGAGAGTCCTAATCGCTGTGCTACGGACGCAGAAAGAAAAAATATATATATGCACCAAAAACCATCCCAAAAAACACACCTACCTTATCAAAACAAGCCACATTAATCACTCCACAGACATTGATAACACTTGGATTAACACAGAATATTTCACTTGAGCGTAGACGTCGTTGAGCAAGAACAATACCCACAGTCATGACTACAGGCAGTGCTGGTGGAACAACAATCGTCACCAAATCCAATGCACGCAATATAATATCACCAATACCAACATTGGCTTTTACCTAAAAATTAGAAGAAGAAAATGCATTATTCATCAAATGTTTCACTTTTACCAATGTGTTTTTTTTGTACTTATAAAAGCAGAAATCACGCCAAATGTTTCGGTATAAAAAAAATGTATACACACATGTTCCTCCACTGACGTATAACTAACTAACTGACTAGCTGACCAATATAACAGCCGCCATTTTTGGCATTTTAGTCGAAGGATTATTACTTCATTTAAACAAGATAATTATTATTGATTGATCATGTTTGATAGTAATAAAAGTGCAAAATGAAATAGTAATTTGGCATATAACTAAATAATTAATTAATTATAACCAATTGCTATAAATATGCTGATATATCTTTGCATATAAGACAGATTGAAACATGTCAGGTATGTATGTACACATAGATACATATATGCATACTCTAAACTAGATTTATTTCGTATGACTCATGCGGATTAATGCAGTCAGTCAAAACAATCCATCCTTTTGTCATAACACTACTACTACTATGTGTAATAAAACACAAATTAATTAACCAAAGTACACAACAGAGAATATAAAGGAAAGAACATAACACAACAAAGGAAACAGTGTTAAATGACACATATAGATATGTATGTATTTATATACAAGTTAAAAAAAAAAAGGAGTTCTGTGTACTCTAAAACAAAAGTAAATATACACGAATTGAACACCAATTGAAGTCTTTATTTCACTTCAGTTCAGTTCACTTCATATTGATTGATATTGTGATGGTGGAATGAAAGGCAAAATAAATATTTAAAAAAAAAACAGTCATACAACCAACTGAAGTCATTCAGCATATTTAATGTTAAGAAGGACAGATATGTGATTAGATGGTTGAAGGGAATCGGCCACAGGAAGCCTTGCTTGACCTAGGTTTCATGATAGTTGACACTCACTAGTCAGCAACCTCGAAGGAACTCATGTCCCTCCTTCTGAGATTCGAACCCGCGTCACCCAGTGCAGTGCTGCAGTCAGAGACGTTACCAATGAGCTATTCTGGCTGGCTCGTGATTGACCTCTTGTAGCAATGTAGTGGATATTTGGATTCGGCACTCGTAACTAGTGTGTGATGTGTCTAGTCCTCTCTTTGGTGCAGACTGCAGCACTGAGTGACGCAGGTTCGAATCTCAGAAGAAGGGACATGAGTTGTTCCTTCAAGATTGCAGATATGCCTTGCTAACTGACTGTTGAGTGCCAACTAGCACGAAGCCTAGGTGTAGCCAAGGCTTCCTGTGGCCGATTACCTCCAACTATCTAATATCATCAAATCAATGTGAGTCAGTGGCATAGCGGTTAAGACGCTCGCCCACCATGCACATGGTCCGGAGTTCGATCCCCGGCCACCGACGCACCCTGTTTTACCTCGCTAAGCCAGAAATAATACTGGCAAAGAGGAAAGGTTGGGCATGAGACTAGCAACCCCATCCTGTAAAATAAACACTGCTACAGAAACTTCAAGGCTCTAGCTTGAAACCCTGTGTTCCACTGGGAAACATGAAGGAAAAAAATGTGCAGCGTGATGGTGGCCACATTGCAAATCTGACTGACTGATAGAATTCACTCTGCACCAAAGAAAGGACTAGATACGTCACACTAGTTAATACGGTCCAATGAAAAAAGTCTGTCTATCTGTCTAACTATTTTCAACATAGAACTTTGCACCGATGTGCACCAACAAATATGCAGGAGGAAGTGGTGATGGATTGGACACTCGTTGAGGAGGTCGCTGGGTGACATCGCGCGAGCGTCAGGCCATTGCTCAAGTGGAACCACGGCGAAAGGGAAGCACGCGGCGAGTCGGACGTCAGTGCAAGGATGACATGGAGGAGATCATGTGAAGAGGAGTTGAAACAGTGTAGACTACCATGGATGCAGGTGAAAAGTACAGCAGAAGGAAGACAGAAGTGGCAAGTGGAGACGTGAAGTTGAAGCCGTATGTTCCACTAGGAACCCAAGGGAACAATAATAATATAAAATAGCAAAACTTTATCAAAAACAATATCGTTTTGTTTTCTTCACTTATCAGGAGATTGAAAAATCTTTCATAGAATAATGAATGCCAATTTTCAGACTATTGGCTATTAGCTTGGTGTGGACATTACATACGTTAAGAAAGCGTTACTGCTAAGAATTATCTAGAATACCTTATACGGGGACGCTACAATATGAGGTTTAATCCTTTCGCCACTTGATATACCTACTCTACAGGCGACATTGACTTTTCACATGAACTATCTTGTGAATGAAGGATTCTGAGGACTGTGAAGCTGTGGCTTATTGGTTACAGGAAGGTCAATTTTCAACATACAGGGTTACGGGTTCGAACCCTGCGCTCCAACTACCGAGGTTTCGGCAGCCAGGTAGTATCCTTAGCTATCACACAGACAAACACATACAACAGGTGTGGAACATTTCCAACTGCATGGCAGTGCAAATGATGGCTGTCGAATAAAATTTCATTTTCATTTTTCTGTGATTAGTGATCACTTATACGCTTTCTCATGTCCTTAGCGAACTCTTGTATTATTATTTATTCATTTAAACGCAGAAAAAACTTGGTACAATATGGCACCAAGAAAGATGCGCCACACAATAATAATAAAACAAAATAGATTAAAAGTAAAAATATAAGTAGAGAACGGGTAAACAAATTCATCTGGAAGGAAAACAGTCATACTTAACAAGTTCAAACAGTATTCGTCAACTATCATCGGGAAGGGAAGAGAGAAGGAAATCGTAACATGTTCGCCATTGACGATTACGATTCTTGGCCATATCCGATAATGTTTCAAGCCATCGATTCGAGCTATCTTACGGACCCCAACCAGGGAGTCGTGACGCATCAACCGATGCTAATCTAGCACAAACATCCTTCATCCCACGACGCCACGTCATGGACTGACCACCTACCTCTCTACCATTTCCATCACGTCCCACGGCTGGCTGGAGAACAGAGACCTGTACGGAAGCCTCTGGGATGACATTCGCAGCATATGTCCAAGCCACCGGAGCCGGTGTTTTCAGATGACCACACTCAATGAATGGTGATCTCCACTGTGTTCTAACACACGCCGCCGAACCTCATAACGACTCACACGATGATGCCATCGAACGCAAGCAATCCTACGGAGACAGCGATGATCGAACAAGCAGAGTCCAGGTTTCACAGGCATAGAGTAAGACAGCCCACACCAAAGCGGTGTATACCCGACCTTTAACAGCCAGGCTAACATCGCGACGGCGCCAGAGGTGGCTCAAATTGCCAGGTGTATGCCACCCTAGCCTTCATTATACGGTTGGAAATCTCATCCGCCACCACTCACACAACTACCCAGATACATAAACTTATCAACAACTTCAAGCGGTTCATCCACAAGAGTGAGTGCAGGTATAGGCTCCTGAGAATCTTGTATCAGTACTTTGCATTTAGACAGCGCAAAGTACATACCATACTTACAGACACTGATGGTATGTACGAACTCTTGTACATGATCGAAAATCAGTATGGAGTGAAAAACTTTAGTCAATCTGAAAAAACAGTTTGTATGCTGTCCTTTTACGATCCGAACAACCTCCCGATCTATGTGTTTCTAGAGCTTATGTACACTTACCGCTTATTTACATATTTAAGGTCATTTTAAAAAATGAGTTTTTTGAAAGTAAAAAATAGCAAATGTCCGCCTACATTATTGACATACTTTAATAGGAAAATTTCACTGTTTTTATTTCCGATAGGTTTAGAAAAATAAACAAATTCATACACACACACCCTCCCAGCAGATAAGTATTGGACTTCCTCGACATCACACCATGTGACATTATTTCCTATTACCGTCCTCCTCCTACTCCTCCTTGATGACTGTGGGTTAGACATGGCCATTGAATTGGGGAAGATATAAAAAAGGTTAGCTGTCATCATTCATAAGTGTCTTCATTTTTATCTCCCTTGTTAAGTGATATAACAGGGTGAGTAATATTTAGGTGAGGTATCGAGTGCTAGATAAGAAAGGAAACTCAATCGACAAGGTTCTCTGAAGCAGCTGCATCGATTGAAAGCCTAGCTACCGGCCTTTCTCGACGGCCAATGTATTAACTGACATAGGACCAGGTTGGAAAAGAGCTAGTATTGGTGTGATAGTGAAACAAAAACTTGGAATCAGGCCATAGGATATTCACCAGTTAGCTCAGGCTACATAGGAAGGTACAGACTGTCTGGTTGGAATCCTCCAGACTCTAAGAACCAATGGTGATATAGTTGAAAATCGGCCTCAGTGGTGGCGTAGAGGCATTCACGCCTTGTCATAATGCCACATCCAAATAACCCTGTTGTTTTTGTGTATATATCAATATTCTTTCCCCATCACATTTCCGCTTAATATTGTTCATTCGAATGTGTCTTTTTTTCCCCTCTCTTTTGTCTATCTTTGTGTGTTACATAGTGAGATTGGTGACTCGCACTGGTGCACTCCTAGGCATAGTCCAACTTTGAAACCATCCTGCGTTTATTTCGTTAGTTGGTAACTTTTCATCTGCACATTATCTGAAAAATAAAAGTTAGTAGTTTGGCCACCATTACAACCTTGTATGTCTGTCTGTTTTTTTTCGACATAGAATTTTACACCGATGTGTGCACCAGTTCAAGTCGCCACGCTCCCTCCACGTAGAACACAAAGCACGAGAAGAAGGTAGAAGAAATGTAAAATAGAGACAGTAAACAGAAGTGTGAGACAAAGAAATAGAAGTACCGAAGAGCAATGTAGTTTCATTGGAAATCGTAAGTCACAGAGAGTGGATGCATCTCCGCCAGCCACTGAGAACGATTTTGAGCCATATCGTCAATTGTTTACAACCATTGGTTTCTGCCGTTCCGAGGACCCCAACCAGTCAGGAAGTCTACACCTTCCTACGTGGCTGGCTGGCTGGCTTAAACTAACTGTTGTGGAATTCACTGACTGGAGTCATGTCTTGGTTTGACCGCCACCAGCCTCATCCTATGTCAGCTAACATTTCACATCGAGGAAGCCGATGGCTAGGCGTGCGTACGTAACACATGTCCTAACCAACTCAGTTGATGTAGCTTCACAGCTTCGTCGATTGATTTCCCCTCCTTACCTGGCACTCAACGCCTTACCTCAATATTCCTAACTCTTTTATACCAGTTCACACAAGAGATAGAACGCAGAGGCCTATGATCAAAGACTGGCTAGCTGGCCTTTTCATGTCTTCCACTCTCAATGGCCATGTCTCGCTCACAGCCATAAAGGAGGACGGAGCGGACTCCTGAGCAGTACGCCCTCCTTTTGGCTGATAGCCGGATATCATGTCTACGCCATTACAATTTTGGCAAACCTTAAATCATTTATTTGGTGATAA